TCCTTCATTCCCTTCCCACCCACATTGCATTGATCACACAATTTCCTACATAATCTAACTACTTTCAATGGTGAGTTCACTCATTACTACTAAGAAGACCAGTTTTAACTTAAATCAAAGAAACGCCAAGGAACTTTGCTTAAAGCCAGGAAACAGGTTAAAATTTTGTTCAAATGGTAGGTGTATGAACCTACCAGTCTCATGTACTTTTATCTTCTGTTCTGGTTCAATTTTCCTGATTAAATTTTGGTACATAGTATTCAACTCCAGACTTGTCCCTATGATTAAGTTGGCCACTTTCTTAGCTTTCGGACTCTTATTTCCGTGTGTCTGTGTTTAATTTTCCTGATACAGCACACCCTTGAGAACTTCTTGGAGATCTGGTCTGGTGCTGGTAAATTCTTTCAGGTTTAATTTATCTGAGAATGTTCTTGTCTTTTCTTCCCACCTGAAAGATAATCTTGCTGGGTACAGTATTCTTGGCTGAAATTGCTTCTCTCGTAACACTTTGAATATATTTTCCCATTGTCTCCTAGCGCGCATTGTTTCCGATGAGAGATCTGCTGTTAGCCTGATGGGATGTCCTTTGTAGGTAACTTGGTGTTTTTCTCTTGCCAATCTTAGTATCTTGTCTTTGTCTGTGGTTTTGGTCAACCTGGCTATAATGTGTCTTGGAGAAGATCTTATTGGGTTGATTCTATTTGGGGTCCTTTGTATTTCTTGGAACTGGATCTTCGAATGCCTCTCTAGGTTTGGAAAGTTTTCTTGCAGGATTTCATAGAATACATTATCCATGCCCTTATGAGTCTCTTCACTTTCTGGAATGCCAATTATCTGGATATTTGGACATTTGATTGTATCCAGTACTTCTCGCATATTATTCTCAAATTTTGGGGCCATTTTCTCAGTCTTCGTCGTGGATTTTTCTAGGCCAGCTCATAGATATATATTTTAGGAAAAAAGATATCAGGATGCTTCCAAAATAAAATAATTTCTATATATTTTGGTTTAAGAGTGTTACAACTTATACTTTATTTTCTCATTTAATGAATACAAATTTTAAAACAAATCTTTTTTTTTTTGAGAGGTTTTCGCTATAGGGTATGTGCGCTCACCAGATAGACAGAGAGAGACGTAGAGACAGAAAGCGAGAAATCACCTCCCAGGGGGAATGGTCACACCACAATCCCTTCTCTTCCATTCTCCTCTTGGGATCTTGGGCAGGCACGCACGCACACACACCCGGCGTGAATTTAAGCCACCAGGTCTGGGATGCGAACCGCGGTCGACTACGTGGGAGTCCAGCAACATAGCCATTACGCCAACTGCTGGTTCCCAAAACACATTTTTTTTTTAAGGTTCTTGCCACAGAGCACATGCACATACTGGAAAGAAACAGAGAGACAGTGAGAGAGAAGGAGAAATTGGCCTTCCCCTCAAAGGGGATGGACATGCTGCAATCCTTTCTCCTCCATTCTCCTCCTGGGATTGTGGGCATACGTGCATGCATGCCCAGCATCTTTCTTTCATTCTTTTTCTCTTTTTTTTTTTTTTTTTTTGATGAGAAAGTTTTACTAAACAATCTCACCACATTTCAGAATCTGTCTTCCAATATCACAGTCTTTTAATGTCAATAAAAGCCCAGTAACTCAAAAGCTTTTATAAACAGAAAAATATAAGCATGATTTCTGAATAGAGAAAGAGGTGCGGGTAGAAATGTTATTTCAGTTTTGTGACCATAATGCCATCTCCTGATCCTACACTTTTAAAGTGTAGGCTATAATTCCTTTTGCATCACACGTTCTACTGCATGACTTACACTGGCCTACAAACTTTTCAACAAAAATACTACGTTAAAAAAATACCATCATCTCTACATGTACCATCAAGACCACTTAAGCTTTTTTGAACTTAGAAAAGTATTACTTTCCCTGAAGAACTCTAAAAAGTCATCCTATTTCAATCACAGCTGTCCTGTGATTGTCCAATAATTGCTCTCATTAGGAGACTTGTGGATCCCATATGCAAACATGTACCAAGCCATAGATGTTGCAGGCACTAGGAGGTAACTGCATCTCTTACTGCATAAAAGGTTTTATCTGAATGTTTAGTGTGGGGTGCTTGAGCCAGTGCTGCCTCTGAATCCTCTCCAAGTTTAGGCATTCATTTACACAGCCAACTCAGCTAGTTCCCTCTTCTGCAATAAAGAAAACTTCCAGGGACCAGCAGTTAGCGTAATGGCTATGTCGCTGGACTCCCATGTAGTCGACCGCGGTTAGCATCCTGGACCTGGTGCCCAAGATCCCGAGAGGAGAATGGAGGAGAAGGGACTGTGGCGTGACCATCCCCCCTGGGGGGTGATTTCTCACTTTCTGTCTCTCTGTCTCTGTCTGTCTAGTCTGGCAAGCGCACGCACCCTACAGCGAAAACCTCTCCAAATAAAGAAAAAAAAGAAAACTTCCAGCTCAGAGCTCTTCTTGACTCTTTTGTTAGCATACACTAGGGTACTAGATGCTTCCTGTGCTGGGTTAGAAACCTGGATGATGAACTACATGGTATTATAGCTGGGTTTTGGCAAGTATTTCAATGCCATTTTATAGAAGCACAACAATTTTCATGTATTCAGCTTCCAACTTGGTGGAGACAATGTATTCCAAAGGCATTGAAGTAGGGAAGGTTCCCTGTTTCCTCATGCAGATCCAATACTTGCATGTATTCCATTTCTACAGCAATTTGTTTCCGGGAGACTGTTACGGACATGAAAACCTTGTGATCATCTTACTGAAAGTTCCCATTATGGCTCACCAAATGCAGATAAGCTGTCCTGAACTAAAAAGTCCTTGATGTTTCTGTTACTGATGCATCTAAATGCTTCAGGATTTCATTCCCAGTTGGATCAGACCTCAGACCTATTCAGACCTCATGGTTTCTCCTCATGCTTCTCTTTCTCTCCATTTTTGCATATGCTGCCTCTGGTGAATGAGAATGTGTGGTGATTTCTTCCTTTCCTACAATAAGCCTAAATGCAGAAAATGTAAATCCTTTCACACCATGTGCATCTGAAAAAGAACATGTACATGGCAACTGTGAGGTAGAACAAAAGGACTTCTCCATCTTAATGTGGGCATGGTTCTCTTGCTATATGCATTCTTCTTAGTGTTTATATGGCCAAGGTGGCCATATAAATTGTGCACAGCTCTTACCTGCTTTTTCTTTCAATAAAAATGGCTATATAATATGTTGGCAAAGTGACACCAAAGACAGGAGCCCATGAGTAGAATTTTCTAAGTATCATCTTTAAAATGTAGAAGAAAGCCATACATAAGACCCCACTAGCAGTCAGAAATAAAGTGGGTTTCAGGGTCTCAGGAAGTAGTTTGTGTAAGTAATAGTCTGATTTTTGTGTCTGGAGAACTGCTGCAATTAGGTACAGGAGTGTCTAGACCTTCAGGGACTCCTCCAGAGCGCTCGTGGTGATCTATAGGAAGGTGACCCGGCAGGAAAGGTGCCAAGTGTGGCTGATCTCAAAGCAGTTGTGATGGATGGACTTGCTGAGGGCTGCTATGATGAAGAGCCCAGGCACGACTTTCAAGCAACCAGAACTGTGACTTCAACTGTGACCGGTTACGTGGGAGTCCAGCACCTTAACCACTATGCCACCTGCTGTTCCCACCAGAAAATTTCATTTTAATAAAAAGATTAAATAAAATATTAATTCATAATCTCTCACTGGATTCCCATGTAGTCAACTATGGTTCGAGGCCCAGATCCAGCAATTTAAGCCACACGCTGAGTGCGTGTGCACACATGCACAAAATTCCAAAGAGAATGGAGGAGAAGAGATTGTGGTGTGGACATCCCACCTGGGGCATGATTTCTCATTTTCCTCTCTCTCGCTCTGGCAAGTGCACATGCCCTATACCAAAAAAAAAAAAAAAAAAAAAAATTGAGAATTAACTTTCTCTCAGTTCATTAAAATGAGCTACAAATCATTCCGAAGAATTTGAGCAATTATTTCATTATTTGTAACCATTTTCAAACTTGCACTTAAAATAACTTGTAGAAAATTTTATAACATAGAGGTCCTTTTTTCACTTAACTCCACTATTTCTGTTGTATTTTTATATTAATCTCTTATCTTGACTCTATATTTAACACGCCCTTCTTAGATGAATTGTTCTCCATCTCTTTCCTACTCTTTGCATCTACCTAGCTATTCCTTTGGGTGGCTTTTATTTTTTTAAGTAATTTATTTATTTTTTAAAAGTTCTTTATTTTATATATAATCACTGTACATTTCCACAGCATAAAAAATTAATATTGCCAGCATGAATACAGTGCATATAGGTGTACTCTGGGCAAGCAAACACATGTGCTCAGCGTGTTTTTCAAGCCTCCAGGTCCAGGACACAAACTGCAAAGGTGATCAGGTGGAAACCATCCTCCTTAACCTCCATGCCACTTTTTTCTAGGATCCTCCCCATCATTATATAGATTTAGAGGATGAATGTGACAGATGTATGGGAAAAAATCTTTTAAAAAAACTTACCTTTGTAAAATAAAAAATTGCTAAAATGGAGAGGTTTTAGAAGCCTGTGATCACCATCTGAGAAACAGTTTCACCTAACTTTTCTACTGGAGTAGCAGAATAACTGTCCTCAAACACGGCCCTACCTTTTGTTCTTTCAATATCATGTTTTTCTTCTACTATAGTAAAAACAAAGTAAAGGGCACATGAAAATATGTGTGTAATTTCAAATCAACAACTAATGCAAGAATAGGCAATCTCGGACAGCTTACTGTTTTCCATGTATTTCCAAACAGCAATTGCTAGCCTTCTTAAGTTTGGATTTGAGGCCTCCTGGGGGGAAAAAGCAGTTTTAAGAACAAGTATCAACACTTTAATGAAATACAAGAAACTTGTCAAAAAAGAAAAGAATAGCAGGTGTCGAATTTGATTAAATAATTACAATATTCACCATTACCATAGGATATAATAGAAAGAGCACAGGTGTTAGAGTCTCAAATGTAAATGTAAACCCCAGTTCGATGGTACAGATGGCCTCAAACATGTTGCTCCTGGGGCCAGCAGGTGGTGAGGTGGTTAAGGTGCTGGGTTCCCATATGGCCAACTGTGTGGTTCTAGTCTGGATCCAGTGGTGTAAAAAACATGCTGGGTGGGGCCAGCAGTTAGTGCAATAGCTATGTTGCTGGACTCCCATGTAGTAGACTGGCATGTAGTCGACTGTGGTTCAAGTCCCGGACCCAATGGCTTAAAACTAATGCTGGGCACATGGGCGTGCATGCCCAAGATCCCAAGAGGAGAGTGAAGGAGAAGGGATTGCAGCATGGCCATCCTCCCTGGGGGGTGATTTTTCACTTTCTGTCTCTCTGTTTCTCTCTGTCTTTCTGGCAAGCACACATGCTCTATAGCAAAAACCTCTCCAAAAAAAAAAAAAAAGAAAGATTAAGAACAAAAAGAAAGACATGCTGGGTGCATGTATGTGTGCGCTCAAAATCCCTAAAGGAGAAGGGATTGCAGTGTGGTCATGACCTGAATGGTGTTTTCTCACATTCTCTGTCTTCAGCAAGCCCCTATAGCAAGATTTTTTTAAAAAGAAAGGATCTCTGCTTCTAGAACTGGTTAATATTTTGTGTAAAGCATCCATTCTTCAACTAAATCAAAGTTTGTTTTTTTTTCTTGTTTAGATTTTTGCCATTGGGCACGTGTGCTCACCAGTGAGAAAGACAGAGAAAGAAAAAAAATGAGAAATCATCCATGCCAGGGAGAATTATCAGGCCACAATCCCTTCTACTCCATTCTCCTCCTGAGATTTTGGGCACGCACGCACATGTGCCTGGCAGTTTTCCACAACACTGGGTCTGGGAGTCAAACCGTGGAATTAACCATGTCGGATCTGGCACCTGAACCATCATGCCACCTGCTGACCCTAAATGAAGAGTTTTAAATATATTCTTTTTTTTTTTAGAGGTTTTTGCTATAGGGCACGTCCGCTCACCAGACATAGAGACAGAAAGCGAAAAATCACCCCCCACGGGGGATGGTCACACTGCAATCTCTTCTCCTCCATTCTCCTCTCAGGATCTTGGGCGTGCACGCACACGTGCCCGGCTTGAGTTTTAAGCCACCAGGTCCGGGACGTGAACCGCGGTTGACTACGTGGGAGTCCAGCGACATAGCCATTACGCTAACTGCTGGTTCCCTTCTATCACTTCTTGATTTCTCTGTGTAGAAATATTAGCAGTGATGATGTTTTCTAGAAATGACTTTTTCAGAATACAGTCCTATCTTCAGGTCCAACATGGGAATACTTAGTTGTTTATTCTATGAGGAGGTGACTAAAATGAGAGTAAGTGTCATTGACAATTAGTTTCATTAACTACGTGGGAGTCCAGCGACATAGCCGTTACGCTAACTGCTGGTTCCCAAGAGTTTTAAATATATTCTTAATGGAATGACCTTGAAAACACAATGGAATGCATTTGTGACACCAATTTTATGAAACAGAATTGTTCTAAATGTCAAGAATTTCTAATATTATCTTAGATTATTTCATATAAAACTAATGGTAGAAATAGAAAAAAAAAATCACTCTCTTAAAACTATGTGACACTAGGGCCAACAGGAGGCATAATGGTTAAGGCACTAGACACCCACATTCAACTGAAGTTTGAATTCTGGACTTGGTGTCTTGAAAATCATGCCAGGCGAGTATGTGTGTTTGCCCAAACTCCTGAGAGGAGAATAGAGGAGAAGGGATAGTGGCAGGGTCATTTCCTGGGGTGGAGTGATTTCTCACTTTGCTTCTCACTGTCTCTCTGGCAAGTGCATGCCCCCTCCCCCTAGCGCACACACACACACACACACACACACACACACACATATACACATTCTATGTTCTGTACACTCTGGAAACTAAAAAGATACCAGGGAGAGTCCATGATTACTATGATAATTAATTGGATTCATTAAAGATTTCTTCAGTAATGAGTAGTATAAAAGTCATGTTAGTATGGTTTAAAAGTAAGAATACTTATCCAAATAATCCTTGGCCAAATTTTTATGTCCTCTATTGTGGGGAAGCTCCCAATACAATTTTCCTATTGCTATGTATTTTCCAGCCCATTCTGTTTTTCAGCCCTGACTGCCTCAAACTATCTACAGTCCCAAGGTACATACCAAAGTAAAAGAAAAAAAAATCAAATGATACTATTTCTATAAAATGGCTTACTCTGACCAATTTTCAATTACAACTATAAAGCAATGCTAGGTAGACCACTGATAAATTTTAAGAGTATATACTAGACAAAACCAAATCCAGAGCTTCAAACAAAGGAAAATAATTTGACAAGACAGCACATTACCTTGGTATCGAGACCTATGAAGTCGTCATCTGAGGTAGGCCACGAATCATCAATATTAGATTTCCTGGAACTGCTTTAGAGCAAAAATATACAAGAAAAACTAAGTGAGTTCATTTCATTAGCAAAACACTTGATGAAAGGCCAGCTATCTGTGTATTAAATGATGTTCTCCATATAATTACAACTTGACTCTCCTATGATTTGAATAAACGTTTGTCCCTGACCGGGAAGTTTGGCTACCAGTATCTTTGGGAGGTGAGACCTTTGAGAGGCAGGACCTAATGGGAGGGTACCATTCAATCACCTGGAACAGAGGGACAAACAAAAGGAGGTGGAAGAGTCCGGTCCCTCTTCCTGTGTTCTCTCCGTCTCTGTCCCTCTCTTTCTCTACAGGTAGCTACTGACCTATCAGCTTCTCTGGGCAACATTGTGACTAGTCAGAGGTCAGCCAGAAGTCGGGCCCTGCTTTTATACCTTTCAGGAACCAGAACTGTAAGCCAAGTGATCCACTGATTCTTTACAAACTACCCAGTTTCAAGTATTCCTGTTTAGCAACATAATAACAAAGGAATATGGTAAATGGGCGCAGCTTAAAGGGAGGGGTTAACAGATAACTGGGACCCTGGACATGGAATGGAGTAACAGGAAGAGGCAGTTACGAGTTTGGAAAAGCAGGCAAGTAAAAGCCTAGATGATGGTGAAGCCTTGGAAGAAGAAAGATTTAGAAATGAACAGAAACCTTTTTTGGGGAAAAAATAGAGCTAAGACACTTGTGGGACACAGAAATGGTTTATAATCTCTTGAGGAGGATGTGTATAGTATTCTCACGTGGGCTGGACTGAGGTGTACATCATGCTTAGTAAAGACTCCTTACAATACAAATGATATATAGCAATTAAATGTATGGATAATAATACTAATAATCAATTTTAAAAACTTTTTTAAAGATTGATTAAAGGTCTGCAACAAGAATACTAATAGAAATATAGAGAGTGAAAGCTGCTCTCAGGTTTAAAAAAAAAAAGAGATTGGGACTAGCAGTTGGTGTAATGGCCATGTCTGTGGACTCCCATGGACTCTCGTGTACAGTTTGAGACCCAGAACTGGTGGCTTAAACTCACGTCAGGTGCATGTACATGCATGCCCAAGATCCTGAGAGGAGAATGGAAGACAAGGGATTATGGCATAACCATCCCCCTGAGGAGTTATTTCTGGCTTTCTGTCTCTCTGTCTCTCTTTGAATTTCTGGCAAGGACACACATCCTATAGCAGAAACCTCTGAAAAAAAAAATTCCTCTCTGTTTGCCCGATTGTAAACAACTTACTATGTTGTCATAACTAATATTTTAGACTTTCTTAATATATCACAGCTAATCCTTATGATATCGTGATACTGTCAGAAACACATGAAGGGGGATAAAACTCCATTCTACATAGGGACCAACAAGTGGTGTGGACTTCAAGGTGCTGGATCCTGCATGAGAGTCAGTGCTGTTCAAGGCCCAGTCCTGGCACTTTTTGAGCTTGTTGTGTGCATGCCCAAAATTCTGTGAGAAGACTATATAGGTAAAGTGACTGTGGAATCGCCATTTTGCCCAGAGGATGTCTTCTAACCCCTGCGCCATTTTGCCCAGAGGATGTCTTCTAACCCCTGCACCGATGTTTCTTTCTCTGAAGAGCACACATGCCATACCGGAGGATAAGAAAGAAACTAAAAACATAAGTTCTCTACAGTCTGGCTTCAGTATTGGCACGGTTTTTATTACACAGTATAAGACTAATCTGTGCAGGACAGTTCAACTTGTTAATCATCACTAGATGCTGAAGTATATTAAGATATTTCATATCTCAATCAATTCCTAATGAGTGCATTCTTACATTAAAACCACACATGAATAGAGGTTTTAAGAACAATTATTAATAACTTTTGTTCAATATTTAAAACATGTGTTAAGCCCTCTAATACTTAGTCAAACAAAATTAAATTTAAAAAACATGTCCTGTGCCTTAGAATGTTACCAACAGCTTACAAACATACTTTAGAAAAATCGGTTTTATAATTTGATAAAAAGGAAAAAGAACTTCCATGTATCCCACATTCTTCAGTTATCACCCAGGTCTCTCATGCCTTCAGCAGAATAATTCTCCAACGAGATGTCTATACTTACCTGACAGTCAAGCATCCCTGATAATTAATGAAACTAATTGTCAATGACACTTATTCTCATTTTAGTCACCTCCTCATAGAATAAACAACTAAGTATTCCCATGTTGGACCTGAAGATAGGACTGTATTCTGAAAAAGTCATTTCTAGAAAACATCATCACTGCTAATATTTCTACACAGAGAAATCAAGAAGTGATAGAAGGGAACCAGCAGTTAGCGTAATGGCTATGTCGCTGGACTCCCACGTAGTCAACCGCGGTTCACGTCCCGGACCTGGTGGCTTAAAACTCAAGCCGGGCGCGTGTACATGCATGCCCAAGATCCCGAGAGGAGAATGGAGAAGAGATTGCAGCGTGACCATCCCCCCTGGGGGGTGATTTCTCACTTTCTGTCTCTGTCTGTCTCTGTCAGTCTGGCGAGCGCACGCGCCCTATAGTGAAAATCTCTCTCAAAAAAAAAAAAAGTGATAGAAGTGTACCTTTTTTCTGAATCTGTTTCACAGAATCTTTTGACCTCAGTCAATTGCAGTGGGCCACCTGGCGTTGACGTGGCCTTTTCCGACGTTCCTACAATCATCGGGGTTTTCGAGGTCCATTTCTTCTTTTCATTTTTCTTGCCTTTATTTTTCCAATAGATTGGGTTCCAACTTTGAAAAAAAATCCATGAAACAAGCCATTGGTTTCTAATCATTCTCCTGACAACTACAAAACCAATTTCTGTAAACTCCCCCATCTTTCCCTTCTGAATCTATTTTCTTTTTTAAAAATTATTCTGAATGGTGAACTACATACCAAAAAATGCATATTCTCAGCTTAAAAACAGGGATTAAAGTAATAATGAGACTCATTATCCATTGCTGAAAAGTTGTACCTAGGGGGACCAGCAGTTAGCGTAATGGCTATGTCACTGGACTCCCACGTAGTCGACCATGGTTCACATCCCGGACCCGGTGGCTTAAAAAAACCCATGCTGGGCGTGTGTGCGTGCGTGCCCAAGATCCCAAGAGGAGAATGAAGGAGAAGGGATTGCAGCGTGGCCATCCCCTCTGGGGGGTGATTTCTCGCTTTTTCTCTCTCTGTCTCTTGTTTGTCTGGGGAGTGAAAGCACCCTATAAGAAAAACCCCTAAAAAAAAAAAAAAAAAAGAAAGAAAGAAAGAAAAGTTGTACCTAAGCAGAAAGAAGGCTTTATATTGGGACCAAGAGATGGTGTAACGGCTATGTGGTTAGACTCCCATACAGTCCACTATGGTTTGAGTTCCACACCTGGTGGCTTAAACTCAGGCAAGATGCATATGCATGTGTGCCCAAAATTATGAGAGAAGAATGGAGGACAAGGGATTGTCGTATGACCATCCCACATGGGAAGCGATTTGTCACTTTCTGTCTCTGTCTCTCTCTGTCCTTCAAATGAACACATGCACCATATAGCAAAAACCTCTCAAAAAAAAAAAAATTCATCCCTGTTTAGGGGAACCTAAACAACTTATTACACTGGCATCACTAATATTTTAGAGTATCTTACTATATCATAGCTATTCCTAATGATATTGTCAAAGATACTGTCAGACACACATAAAGGGGGATAAAATTCTATTCCAACTTGGGACCAGCAGTTAGCGTAATGGCTATGTCGCTGGACTCCCATGTAGCCGACCACGATTCAAGTCCTGTACCGAGCGGCTTAAACTCATGTCAGGCACGTATGCGTGCATGGCCAAGAACCCCAGAGGAGAATGAAGGAGAAGGGATTGAGGCATAGACATTGCCCTGGGGGTGATTTCTCACTTTCTGTCTCTCTGTCTCTCTCTGTCTTTCAGGCGAGCACAAGTGCCCTATAGTCCAAAGCTCTCATAAAAAAAAAAATTTTTTTTAATTATCTTTCAACTAGGGACCAGTAAGTGGTGTGGACTTCAATATGATGGATCCAACACGACAGTCAGTGCTGTTGAGGCCCTAGTCCTGGCAACTTGAATACACTGGGCAAGTTGTGTGCATGCCCAAAATTATGTGAGGCAACCGTAGGAGAATTGACTATGGCATCGCCGTTTCACCCAAAGGATGTCTTCTAACCCCTGCACCCATGTTTCTGTCTCTGGAGAGCACACATGCCATCTGGGGGATTAGAAAGAAACTAAAAACATAAGTTCTATTCAGTCTGCATTTAGTGTTGGCATGGTTTTTATTACTTAGTTTAAGAATAATCAGTGCATGAGAGTTCAACTTTTCAGTAATCACTTAGATGCTGAAGTATATTATGATATTCCATTTCTGAATCAATTCTTAATGAATTCCCTCTTACCTTACAACCATACGTGAATAGAGATTTTAAGAAAAATTATTAATAATATTTGTTCAAACTTTAAAAAACATAATGTATTAAGCCCTCTAATATTTAGACAGTAAAACAAACTGAAACTTAAAAAACATGTCTTCTGCTTTACCTCGTTAACCAATAGCTTACAAACATATTCTAGAAGAATCAGTTTTAGTTTTACAATTTCATAAAAAGGAAAGAAAACTTCCTTGAATCTCAAAATTCTTCTCTTATCACCCAGTTCTCTCATGTCTTTAGCATAGTAGTTCTCCAAGGCGGTGTCTATACTTACCTCACAGTTGAGCTTCCCTGGTAATTAATCAAACTGCTTTTTCTGTCAAGGACATTTACTCTCATTTTCTCACCTCCTCAATAGAAAAAACAATTGAGTATTCCCATGTTGGACCTGAAGACAGGACGCTATTCTGGCTCATTTCTAGAAAAAGTCATCACTGCTAATATTCCTTCAGAGAGAAATCAAGGAGTGATAGATGTGTACCTTTTTGATTCTGAATCTGTTTACAGAATCTTTTGACCTCAGTCAATTGCAGTGAATGACCAGGAGGTGACTTGGCCTTTTCCAATGTTCCTACAACTGTCAGGGTTTTGGAGGTCCATTTCCTCTTTTCATTTTTCTTGCCTTTATTTTTACAAGAGCTGGAGTGCCGACATTGAAAAAAAATCATGAAACAAGCCATTGGTTTCTAATCATTCTACTAACAACTACAAAACCAATTTCTGTAAACTCCCACATCTTTCCCATCTGAATTTCTTTTCTTGTTTAAAAATGATACTCAAGGGTCAACTACATACAAAGAAATGCATATTCTCAGCTTCAAAACAGGCATAAATGAAATAATGTGACACATTAGTCCATGGCTGAAAAGTTGTACCTAAGCAGAAAGAAGGCTTTATATTGGGACCAATATACGGTGTAATGGCTATGTGGCTAGACTACCATGTAGTCGACCATGGTTTGAGTTCCGGACCCAGTGGCTTAAACTCATGCCAGACGCGTATGCCTGTGTACCCAAAATCATGAGAGGAGAATGGAAGACAAGGGATAGTCATGTGGCCATCTGCAAGGGGAGTGATTTCTTACTTTCTGTCTCTCTGTCTCTCTCTGTCCTTCAGACAAGCACATGCGCCATATAGCAAAAAACTCTCAAAAAAAAAAAAAAATTCTCCCTGTTCAGGGGGGTCCTAAACAACTTATTACATTGATGTCACTAATATTTTAGAGTATCTTACAATATCATAGCTATTCCTTATGATATTGTCAAAGATACTGTCAGACACATATGAAGGGGGATAAAATTCTATTCCAAATAGGGACCAGCAAGTGGTGTGGACTTCAAGGGGCTGGATCCCACACAACAGTCCTGTTCAAGTCCCATTCTGGTACCTTAAAGAATACACTGGGCGGGTTGTGTGCATGCCCAAAAGTCAGTGAGGAGATTGTAGGAGAAGTGACTGTGGTATTGCCATTTCTCCCAGAGGATGGCTTCTATCCCCTGCACCCATGTTTCTGCCTCTGGAGAGCACACAAGCCATACTGGGGGATAAGAAAGAAACTAAAAACATAATTTCTTTTTGGTCTGCCTTCAGTGTTGGCACAGTTTTTATTACATAGTTTAAGAATAATCTGTGCAGACAGCTGCCCAGGAGAAGATGGCGGCCCCAGCAGTGTCCAGGCTCTTCTGGTAGATGCAATACTTCAGTACATCTGTGGTCAGGTCATTTGCCAAGCTTGTGAGGCCACCTGTTCAGGTATATGGTGTCGAAGGGCGCTATGCCACTGCGCTTTATTCTGTTGCTTCTAAACGGAATAAACTGGAACAAGTAGAAAAGGAGTTGTTGAGAGTAGCACAACTCCTGAAGGACCCCAAACTGGCTGTTTCTATTCTGAATCCATATGTTAAGCGTTCCATTAAAGTGAAAAGCATAAATGACATGGCAGCAAAAGAGAGGTTTTCTCCCCTCACATCCAACCTGATCAATTTGCTTGCTGAAAATGGTCGTTTAAGCAACACCCAGGGAGTCATTTCTGCCTTTTCTACCATGATGAGTGTCCACTGCGGAGAAATACCTTGCACCGTGACCACTGCATCCCCTTTAGACCAAGCAACTCTCTCTGAATTACAAACGGTTCTGAAGAGCTTCCTAAGTAAAGGCCAAGTATTGAAATTGGAGGTTAAGACTGATCCATCAATCATGGGTGGAATGATTGTCCGTATTGGAGAGAAATATGTTGACATGTCTGCAAAAAACAGGATTCAGAAGCTAAGCTGGGCCAAGTGGGAGATCATCTGAAAGTGTGGATTTTCTGTCCTTGGGGAAAATTCTCAAACTTGGAGCAACAATAAATGCTTCCTGACCAGACCAAAAAAAAAAAAAAAAAGAAGAATCTGTGCATGATAGTTCAACTTTTCAGTAATCACTTCTATGCTGAAGTGCATTAGGATATTCCATATCTCAATCAACTCTTACCTTAAAACCATACATGAATAAAGGTTTTAAGAAAAATTATTAATAATATTTGTTCAAACTTTATAACATAGTGTATTTAAGCCCTCTAATACTTAGACAGTAAAACAAACTGAAACTTAAAAAAAACATGTCTTCTGCTTTACCTCGTTACCAACAGCTTACAAACATACTCTAGAAGAATCCGTTTTACAATTTCATAAAAACAGAAGAAAACTTCCTTGATTCTCAAAATTCTTCACTTATCACCCAGTTCTCTCAAGCCTTTAGCACAGTAATTCTCCAAGGCGGTGTCTATACTTACCTCACAGTTGAGCTTCCTTGGTAATTAATCAAACTACTTTTTTTCAAGGATACTCACTCTCATTTTCTCACCTCCTCAACAGAAAAAACAATTGAATCCTCCCGTGTTAGACCTGAAGACAGGACACTATTCTGGTTCATTTCCAGAAAAAGCCATCACTGCTAATATTACTTCAGAGAGAAATCAAGAAGTGATAGATGTGTACCTTTTTTCTTCTGAATCTGTTTCACAGAATCTTTTGACCTCAGTCAATTGCAGTGGACGACCAGGAGGTGACTTGGTCTTTTCCAACGTTTCTACAACCATCAGGGTTTTGGAGGTCCATTTCCTGTTTTCATTTTTCTCCCCTTATTTTCACAAGCGATGGAGTTCCGACTTTGTAAAAAAGTCCATGAAATAAGTCATTGGTTTCTAGTCATTCTGATGACAACTACAAAACCAATTTCTGTAAACACCCACATCTTTCCCATCTGAATTTACTTTCTTGTTTAAAAAGGATTCTGAAGGGTCAACTACATACAAAGAAATGCATATTCTCAGCTTCAAGTAGGGATAAATGGAATAATGTGACACATTAGTCTATTGCTAAAAAGTTGTACCTAAGCAAAAGGCAGCTTTATATTGGGACCAACAGATGGTGTAATGGCTATGTTGCTAGTCTCTCATGTAGTTGAACACGATTTGAGTCCAGAATCCGGTGGCTTAAACTCATGCCAGGCGCGTGTGCGTGTGTACCCAAGATCCCGAGAGGAGAATGGAGGACAAGGGATGGTGGCATGGCCATCATCCCTGGGGAGTGATTTTTCACTTTCTGTCTCTGTCTTTCTGGTGAGCATACATGACTTTTAGCAAAAACCTCTCAAAAAAAAAAAAAGAGAATCCTCCTTGTTTCCTTGTTCACCAGATTTTAAACAACTTATTTCATTGATATCACTAATATTTTAGAGTATCTTACTATATCATAGCTATTCCTTATTATATTGTCAAAGAGACTGTCAGTCAGACATAAGGGGGATAAAATTCTATTCCAACAAGGGACCAGCAAGTGGTGTGGACTTCAAGGCACTGGATGCCGCATGACAGTCAGTGCTGTTCAAGTCCCAGTCCTGGAACCTTGAAGAATATGCTGGGCTTGTTGTGTACATGACCAAAATTCTGTGAGAAGACTGTAGGAGAAGTGACTGTGGCATTGCCATTTCACCCAGAGGATGCCTTCTAAACCCCTGCACCCATGTTTCTCTCTGGAGAGCACACATGCCATACTGGGGGATTAGAAAGAAACTAAAAACATAAGTTCTAGTCAGTCTGTCTTCAGTGTTGGTATGGTTTTTATTTGATATTTAAGACTAATCTGTGCATGACAGTTCAACTTTTCAATCATCACTTAGATGCTGAAGTGCGTTAGGATATTCCATATCTCAATCGATTCTTAATGAATGCCCTCTTACCTTACAACCATACATGAATAGAAGTTTTAAGAACAATTATTCATAATTTTTGTTCAATATTTACAACATAATGTATTAAGCCCTCTAATACTTAGACAAACTTAAATTAAAAAAAAAAAAAAAACATGTCCTGTGCTTTAGATCATTACCAACAGCTTACAAACATACTCTGGAAGAATCAGTTTTACAATTTCATAAAAAAAGAAAGAAAACTTCCTTGAATCTCACAATCTCCAGTTATCACCCAGTTCTCTCTTGCCTTTAGCATTACTGGTTCTCCAAGGCCATGTCTACACTTACCTAACAGTCAAGCTTCCCTGGTAATTAACGAACCTGCTTTTTGTCAAGGACACTTACTCTGTGCTCACTTCGGCAGCACATGTACTAAAAAAAAAGACACTCTCATTTTAGTCTCCTCAATAGAATAAACAATTGTGTATTCCCGTGTTAGACCTGAAGACAGGACACTACTAAGGTTCATTTCTAGAAAAAGCCATCACTGCTAAAATTCCTTCAGAGAGAAATCAAGGAGTGACAGATGTGTACCTTTTTTCTTCTGAATCTGTTTCACAGCATCTCTTGTTCTCAGTCAATTGCAGTGGCCTGCCAGGTGGTGAATTGTCCTTTTCCAACGTTCCTACGTCCCTTGGTGTTTTGGAGATCCAAATCCTGTTTTCATTTTTCTCGCCTTTATTTTCACAAGCACTGGAGTTCCGACTTTGGAAAAAATCCATGAAATAACCCATTGGTTTCTAATCATTCTCCTGACAACTACAAAACCAATTTCTATGAACTCCCAACTCTTTC